GGTGAGATATTTTAGTATATTGTATATGTTCTTATGAATAAATTGTTTAAGATTTTCTATTGGTTTCCATGTCTCTCCATTTGCTCTACAATACTTCTTCTAACCAAGTAATTCTGATCGAAGGTTTCTCTTGTCAATGGAATTGTAATGGGCGGGGGAGCTGGATTATGCATGCATGGAAGGTTTCGAGTTGTGACCGAGAATACAGTATGAATAATTCTCTTAAAGTGATACTATTGTTTGAATGCATTTATTTGTTTACATACTTTCAAGTACCGTTTAATAATTTCTTCTTAGGTATTTTTTGTGCTTAAGAATTTTTTTCTAGTAGTTTTTGTTTTGTTTATTTATTAATTTATTTATTTTTTTTGGTTTTGATTTTTTTTTTGTTGTTCTCCAAGATTGGCACCTTCTTTCAAGCTTAATTGTGTGCATAGTAGTATATGTATGGTTGTATATAAATGTTTCACCTATGTACTAAAATTCATTTATATCACTTATGCAAAAATTGAATGAAACAATATTTGATTTTTTTGGCAAAAATGTTTTTTTCTTGCTTTAAAAAGTTACTTAAAAAAGCATTGCCGGCTGTTATATTAGGCCAATACTGTTAGTTACAATTAGAGGTGCTATAGAAAACATAGTTCTAGTATTCTACTTATTATTGGTTGTTAAGTTGAACAATTGGTTTGCCTTTCATGCATAATATAAATGGTCAAATAAATTGGGTGGGGCTATTCCTACCCCCACAAATATCCATCCCCACCTCATTAAACTCTTTATGTAAAACTATTAAGCCCATCCCATTCTATATCCACTCCATTGGTAACCACACACCATTTTAAATTTACTTCATTAATGACTAATTATAATTCAAATGGAGGTTTGTCTGCTGATGTTCGGATTGAGTCTTGTGCTAATGCAGGAACTCATTCGGTTGAAAAAGACTGTAACAGAAACTCAAGAAATCATGGTTTAATAGGAAATGATATCAAGTTGATGATCTTCACCTCACCTCCATTAGTTAAGTTGCCATACTTTTGCATTGCTGGAAAAAGGTGCAAATGTTGTGCTTAAATATTTGTTCTTTATGCTCCTCAATAAATAGTTTTGAGGTGGGGTAAAGCTTGGTTCAATTATTGCATTGTTTGCTGATGAAAGAATAAGCACTTTCACGTTGGCTGAGTCAAGTGACTATGTGTTGCATCAGTGTCTCATGTGCTTCGACCTTTTTTGGCTTTGTTTTGCAACAATTTGGTTTCTTATTTTACTATTCATGTTGAAAATCACAAACTTGATGTAGTCAAATTAAAAACTTGAATTGGGTTCATTGTGGGTGAGAACTGTTTGATGTGTGAGATAAGGTAAGGAATGACAATAACTTATGATTAGCATGTATAGAAAGGTGAAGCTTAATATATTTAGCATGTTAATGGAGTGGGTTTAGGCATTGATAGTGTGACTGTAAAATGGGAGGAACTTAGTTACTAATGAGACACGTATACCAATGGGGTGGGTATAGATGAGGTGAACTTAGTATATTAATATTAGGGAGTTTAATGGTGGGAATGGCTGTTTGTGGGGTTAAAATAGCCCGACCTGTAAATCTTCAACTAGTGGTGAAATTGTGAAATCTTCAAGAGAAAAATAAAGCAATGAAATATTTTTGAATAAAAGAATGATAAATTATGCTGAATTATCATGATTGTTATACTCCTTTAGATATATTTGCTGATTAACAAAGATATATATATATATATATATATATTTATATTGAAGTTTTTAGTCCCATACATAATTTGCAAAAGGAGTCTTGGTTGAAGTTTGGAAGGTGAAAAGGAATAGAACTCTTGATCCTAGAAATATCAGGAATAACAATATTGAGCTACACAATATAGTATTAATTAATCTTGTGTCTTGACTAATGAAAATGAGCAAAAACTTGCACGACAGTGTTTTGACAGAGTGGTTATCATCTATCATGTAATTATTGAGTACATTGACTTATGAAGGATGAACATTTTTGTCTTAGATTGGTTTTAAAATCCAAAATGCTTTCACATAATTTTTCGACAGGTAACCTTTTTGGCACCTTACAAACAAAAGGACTCTTACAATTTCTTGGTAGCTTGATTATTTTTCTTATAAGACTTCAGACTTGGCAGTTGGATTATTGTCCTCGTGTTTTATTTGAATGGTCTAACAAATGTTAAGTTATATTGTCAAATCTTGATTTTTAAAAATTGCATGAACATCCCTCACATTTATGAAATGATTAGAAACCTGTCAGTTTGTTGATTTGTAATAGAGGCTTGGTTTCAAGCTAAATTTGATAATAATTAAGTTTTGAATCTCTTATTTGCCCCTATTTCAGAGACATTTTAATGTTTCAATGCTTTGAAATAATGCCAAAATGTTTATTTCATTAAGATCATTTCTAAAACGTTAAGGGGTCACCATGTGTGCGCACCAATGACAAGTAGTAGGTTTCTTTAACCAATTTTCTCTTGACGCATTAGCAACTTCAGCAACTATTCTGTTTATTGTTGAGGGAAACCCATCCATTAGTTTGTCACTTAGTTTAGCTTAGCTAAAACATTGATATCATCTGAAATACAATTTTGCTTCTTTCGAATTGCTCTTCTCTCTGTTTTTTCGCACCCTGTTCCACTTCAATTAATCCTTAGCCTTATGTTGAACCTTGTGAGGAGATACTCTCAGTGAGGCCCTGGATTGCCCTGCCATTGCTACTACCACTACCAATACAGTCTGTATGACTGTGACAACGATCATATCACCACAAGGTCCACAATCAAAATTTTATAGTCAATCTCAACCTTATATTGTTACGCCTTTTTTATTATGCTTTATACAATAATTATCAAGAGGCATCTAAGGGTGAGACATAACATAGGATATTGTAAATCAAGTTTGCTATTACACTTCTTAGCTTGTAATTAATAAAGTTGGTGCACGAATTTCCAAGTATATTGGAGTTAGGAAAGGATGAGATTGTTTGTTTCAACATTTTCTTAAATTACATACTGCCTATGCACTTGTAATGCACCCAGAAAATTGAAAAATTATGCAAATAGTAATGTAGAGCATGATATATAGATTAGGTGATTGTGGGAATGACACATGGGAGGTTAAAAATGGCTGTAACTAAGTACAAACTACGAATGAACACCCTCTATTTAAAATGCCACTATTGACATGGAGTGTTAAAAGTATGGATTGCAACTTGCTATGTAGCTAGCGTTTGGGATACAAACTCTCTTTATACCCTTCCTCATGTCGTACTTGGGCTCACCTGTGGAGCTAACAAACAACCTGTATTCCGAGAAACTCAAATGGGTTAGAGCCCAACTCTGATGCCATATTAGAACATTCAACCCAAAAACAATTGGCAATAAGTGAAATAGGCGCTCAAGTATATAAACCAACTTTGGGTGACCCAAATTATTCGATGTGTGATACAAGCTCTCTTTACAACTCTTATATATATACCATCTATTATTCTGTCTATCATCCCAAACAATATGACTTCTCATTACAAAGTTATAGTGTCTATGTGTAGTAAGGGGAAATGAAAAGTGAAAACAAAACCTAAGAGTTACTACAAGCATGATTATAACGTGGAGGTGTATGTGTCCTTCATCTTAAATGCATTTCGTGGCGCTTCATGAGAAAATGTGCTGGAAAATACAATGCATCCCAAATGAATCCTAAATGAGTATAGACACTTGGATGAGTGGGCAATGTTGAAAAACATTCATAGGACCCACTGATCCAAGAGTCCAGAGTCATTTGGGATCCCTAGAATTTGTCAAAATTTTCATTTGTGAGCGTTAGAGATGCTTCTTTAAGTTAACTGGGCAAAGTGTAGGAACACAAGCATTTCTTTATTTTGTCGTATGATATATTTTGGAAGAGAGTAATGCAAAAAATAGATCCCAAATGACTGAGTACTTTTTGGAATTCATGCAAAAAATGTGCATTAAAAATAATTTTGTTTCATTGACAATCCATATTAACCAACAAATAGGGTGCAATATTTGACAAGCATATGCCTAGAGTCTGCTTATTGTGGTTTGAAAGTTTGCAATTGACTATTTAGAAGTTTTTGAAGTGTCTCCCCAGCAGTGCCTTTAATATAATTCTTCTTAAAACATAATCGTATCAACCAATTGGGTCTAGCTTAGTTGGTCACTGGGTTAACAGTAATGATTGATTTTTCATGCATTTCTTTTTCGGACACTGTTATGCACTTATTGCTGGTCTTTTTCTACCTCATTATTATAGTGGTTTGGTTAGATTTCATTGTAAAGTGGTTCATTTGGATTTTGCTGTAATAATCTAAGAAGAATGGACACTCTTAAGAAGGTGACGTATCCTTGTTAGACACTTGTCCGACCCCGACACTCTTTAGACACTCTCGAACATTGTTCGATACTCTTTTATCTATACCCATAATTAGAATATAAAATTTTTACTTTTGGAGATGTGTCTGATACTTCTGTAGTTGTGTCTACAATCTAGTAATAAAGACATGTAATTAACAAAGTTTAAAAATTTAATATATGACTATCTTATACTCAAGGATCAATTTTTTTTTTCAGTGGATAGTTTGAATCAGCTTGTAAACAAAAATATTCGATAATATTGGGGAAACATTTTGAAAAAGGATGGGAACATAAAATAGAAATAAAAATTTATTTTCAAAACATTCTAAAACGTTAATCGAAACATACTAATACTCATTGAAACATACTGAGACATAAGAATTTCATTATTCAATCACTGGTTCATTTGAGTTTCTATGAAAATGAAAACGTTTAAGATGTTTTGATCATTTCAAAACAAATTTTATTTTCTTGATTATACTATTAAAGAATATGTTGTTATATTACTCATGTCAAAGTTGTATATAACAAAAGCAAAAGATACTTAAAATCTGTGCTAAAATAGAGAAATAGAGAAAAGACGAGATCTGACCCAAAAAAAAAAGAGAAGATGAGAGCAATCATTTTGTGTATATATGTTTTGCTCTATGTTGACTATTATGATCCTTTTAGTCTAAAATTTTATGCTAGCCTAGAGATAAGATTTAATAAAATATTGAATTTCTTATGAATAGTACTATCATTATATCTATATTAGTAATAAACTACACAGTTTTTTTATATAAAACATGATTATTTGTAAAGCGACCCCCGAGTCCTTGTTTGTTTGAGAAATGTTGCGTCCACCTGCACGTGTTTGTATCCATGTTTCTTAGGTAATAACTATATAATAATGATACGCGCTTGCAAATAAAAAAACCATCTTTTTGCTTAGTTTAAAATACATATTTTGATTTCATTTTGTGAACATATATTTGAAACTTATATTTGTTCATCACAATGAAGAATCTTCTAGTCACTTGCTTCCCCTAACTTGTGGGCATGTAGTATATCAAATAATAATCAACTTTTGAAGTTTTGACAATACATATGCTGAAGGCATGATTTCATTAATGTTTATGTATGCAGTTCCCTTTTCTGAGATACATCGTGTTGTTCTCCTGAATTAAATTGAAAAGCATAACTCCAAGGGATGAAATTTGTTGGCTTAGGAACTCCTAACTACCCTTTCCTTTTGCCTTTTTTTTTTTTCCAGTGTACTTAAAGAAACTTAGTAATTGATTTAGTTGTTCTTCTTTATAGGTTTTTGCTATGCCAGAGGCATCAATTGGCCATTTCCCAGATGTTGGGTCATCCTATTTCCTCTCGAGACTGCCAGGCCATTTTGGTATCATGTTCCCCACTTTTTTTCTTTGTAGACATTATATGTTGCCCTCAAAATTAAAAAAAATATATGGATGTATATGATTCCTTCATTGTTTTAAGAACATCATGAATAAGGATAAACTAGAGAACTGTTGTGTCCTATTATGTAATCATTGATCCAAAACCAAAAAACTTGATGATGTAGTTTATATACAACAGGGATTTCAATCCCATTCTCGCTACTATTGACAAGAAAAAAAGTCAGATTGGCCTTTGTGGGATAACATGTTTTTTATAGGCAACAATTAGATGATTTATGTTGTTACAAGAACTATAGGGAAAATTTTCAACAACTCCTACTTGTCACTTTAAAAATTATGTTGTCGTGTTAAATTTCAGAAAACACAATTAAGTCTTAATTTTTTCATATGTCAAATTTTATTCAGGAGAATATCTAGGGCTTACTGGAGCTAGAATTGATGGAACTGAAATGCTTACATGTGGACTTGCAACTCATTTTGTTCTTTCCAAGGTATTTTCATGAAATGACGTGTAAATAAAATACATGATATTTACATTTTACCATGCCATGAAAATGTCTTTAGCATCTTTCAGGTATACAAATTAAGGATGTGACCGACAGACGAAAACAAGAGTAGTACTTTCCAATCTTAAAGTTAACATTTTTATTTGAGCACGAAGCAATTTCAAAGTGGAGAAGTTTATTTTAAGCTGTTTTGAAAAGTTCCAACCTTATGAAGCCACAGTTTTCTTCTACATTTTATGCGTAGGATTTTAGATACTTAATAGAGCTGTTTATATTCGTCCTCATTTTCCTTTTCTATCTGTCCGGTTATAGGATCTTCAGTTGTTAGAAAATGCCCTTTGTGAGGTTATTTCCTCAGATAATGCAACGATTTCTGCCCTCATCAACAAGTTCACACATAAAGCACATTTGAAGCAAGAGACCTTTTTTAAGAGGTGATTAGCTATACATCTTTTGATTCATGTGATGGTTTCTTTAATTGAATCTCTTCAAAATACAACCAAAGGATTGGCTTCCTTTGTGTTTTCTTATGTCTTGATGACACACTTATTTGCATACCTAAGAAACTCCTCGTTTTAGCGATGTTATGGTTTGTTGATGATAGGTTGGAATTTATCAACAAATGTTTCTCTAAAACGACGGTGGAAGAAATATTGTTGTCACTTGTAAGTTTACTGACTTCCAAGTGCATGCATTCCCTTTATACATTTAATATCTAGATTAAAAGGTTCTGTTTTTTTTTCCCCTCTATTTTTTCCTTTTGGTTAATCAATAAATCATATATTCAGGAGAAAGAAATGGCCAATGGAGCAGATATATGGATTGTGAAGGCATTAAATTCCATGAAGTCGGCCTCACCAACAAGTCTTAAAATTACTCTACGATCTGTAATAATCGTTATGAACACTTTTCGTATTTTGATATTGAGAGATTTGTTGAGAAAACAAAAAGAGAACTTCGTTTCAGTAACAATCTAAGAAGTTAACTTGCTGATTTTACTTGCTAAACGTTTTCTTGATTGTTGATCAGATTAGAGAGGGAAGAAAGCAAGATCTTAGACAATGCCTAATTCGTGAATACATTATTAGCTGTCACATAATGCGAAGAACCGTCAACAATGATTTCTATGAGGTCTCTAAATGGTCTGTTGTTTTTTTACCTTCACTGTTTTGTCACTCTAGTCTTACCAAAGAAACTAACTGTGCAGGGTGCAAGAGCAATGCTGCTTGACAAGGACAAGAAGCCAAAGGTATGAAAAATTACAATTACAAAATTAAATAATTACTTTGTCAATTTAGCGTTTGAACCCCTTTTACTCACAAGAAGACCAGCTTTCATGAATGAATGTAGAACAGTTGCAATCCTTATCAAAATCTTTAGGTCTTTTTCTACTTTTTAAGAACAAAGATTGATCAAACATTTTGAAACTCCATATTAAAGTGAGAAACAGTCATGCAACCAAAAAGTACATGAAAGTTTGAGGGCCTTGTGTTGTTTATAAATTGTAGCCTTACAATTTTAGATGGTGTGTCAGGTGACCCCAAATTTAAATGAAAAAAAAAAGTCTATGTACCTTACATTATTTTCTCTCTATTTTCCTTCTTGGTGGATCACCTGCCGGCTACCATGAATTCAAGTGGGACACACTGTATGTAAGTGGAGTCCCTCAGTCATTAATGCTGGATGGTCTGCAAAGAAGAAATATTAAGGAAAAAACATATTGGAGGGGATTTGAATCATCTTCCATGTATGAAGCGCATTTACGGCAGTGGACGCTTTGCTCCCCACCTCTGAAGATGCAGTATGGATGGTCCTATCATTGTTTCATTTGGATAATAAACACCGCAATTTTATTGAAGATAACTTATTAAGTTTGGCATATATTATCTTCTTTTGCAATGTGCAAAACCTTGCTTATAGGATGATAACGAAAATATTCATGTTAGCTTGCTTTCTAGGAGATCTTTGCAACCTACTTACTCATTTTCTTTTCCTCATCGACAGTGGATGCCTTCAGAACTAGATCAAGTTAATGAAGAAATGGTGAATCGGGTTTTCACCGAAGTGGATGATGATGAATGGGTTCCTATGGAACTCCCAGATAGACTTAATGCTACCAACATTGCAAAATCAAATCTCTAAACGCTATTTGCAATGACAATTGTGGACTGAGTTGGAAGTACATTTTGGTGAACACTCTAATAAATGTGTTGTTGGACAGGAAAATTCTAAGGCATGGTAAATCATTATTCTCTCCCATTCACTGAAGATATTATAGTGTTTTTATTTGTATAAATTTGGAACCCATCAAAGCCTAAGCTTTCAAGGGGATAAATGATGGACCTGTGGGAGAGAGAATGTATAAATATGTTTACTTCTTTTTTAAACCTCTGAGAGTGTTTTAAGATTGCAAAACTAATATCTCATATTGATCGAATGCTGATACAATTTTTGAACATACTCATTAAGTTTATTTTGTGTAGATACAATGGAGAGGTCTTTTTCTCTGTGATTTCTAAATTGGCTAGGAAACCCTATCCATATGTCACTTGTGCCAACTCTAATTCTAACTGTAGTTCAAATAGTAATAAAGACGAACTGTAAATTCAAATGTATTGAATTTGAATTTTCTTGCAATTCCTTAGGGCTAGGTCATGAAAGATTTATTCCTCTTAAATATCTTACTTTTGGCGTGGATGACCCTGCTTTTGGTTGGAATAGAGAGGGAATTAGTCAAAGTGCACATAAATTATTGCAGACATTTCTCATCGTTGAAAAAAAAATTACTTGTACCTATCCAATTTATTTCATCAAGAGATTGTTTCCCTTTGTAACTCCCTCATATTACCACCATCGCCATAAAAGGGTGGTTGTCCTTATTTTAATTACCTGGTTTTTAGAAAAATAAAATTAAGTAAATTGTAGCATATATTTGCATAATATTACTTTAAAGATAATGTGGCATGTGAGCCACATTAAGCCTTCTAATGAAGACATACTATAATATTCTTCCAATTGGTTCTCACATCAGGACTTTCTGGGCTTCAGGGCTCATTTAACTGCTCTAATACCTCATGAAATGTGCATCCATTATAATTTGTGTATATACCTCGGCTTTTTCGATGAAATTATAAAATTGGGATCTAATTGTTTGATTTCAATGATGAAAAATCCAATGGGTTGGATTTTAATGGTTAGATATAATCCAACAATAAGATTATTTTTTTAAAGAATATATAATTTTCGTGACACCACGTTAAGGGGGTTTTTTTTTCACAACACATATAGGCGAAGAGGCTAGTGACACTTAGAAGTATTTTGTTAATTTATCCCTTGCTCCTATGAATCAATTTTACACTTCAATATGAGTAACAAGCTAAAACAATCAAAATGTTTTTAGTTTGAATGATTGGTGAAAAGTAGCCAGATAACATAACTAAGAACTTAAAAGAAGACAATATTAACATTTAGTCCTATCCATCTCTCTAGGACTCCTTGCAGTTCAATCTCGTGATGAACATTTTCTTTTTTTAAGTTCAACGATCAGAAATGTCAGAATTAGTTTATGTACATCTCAAGGTGGGTATATATCGAAGGGATTCACCTATAGGTCCGAAGGCTCTTAAATCGTCTTAAGGTGGGTATATATATATCTTTATATGTTTTGAAAATACTATTATGAGATGATAGAATTTAATAGCAATTTTTCAGAATTATGTGCTACGTGCTTATGTGATTGAATGATGTTTTGTACTGTGTATTGTGGAATGTGGCGCACTATTTGAGACAGAGGTGTCGAGGCCTGATCACTGGGCGTGCAGTGGTGTGCTAGCATTGTGGAAGTTCCCAGAAAGTTCGAAAGACACGGATCCATGTGGGATCGATTACCCAATGAGGGGTAGTATGGATGTGATGTGACTTGTGAATTCTTTGAAATTGGATTGATGTTGTTGTTTGATACGTATATCTATGTAGTATCTACTTACTTTGGTGTATTACTATCATTTTCATTTCATATACAACATGTATACTTACTAAGTCCGTGGTTTAGCTCACACCCTTATAGGTTCTCTTTTTCAAGTACTATAGAGGGAATTGCAGACCAGTCCACTGTTCAATCGGTTGAGTACTGCCTAGTGAAATTGAGTTAATGTGATATTTTCTCAGGTTGTATGTCTGTTAATTAGGTATTTAGTTTTAATAAGTTGAGTAATATAGGTTGAGTGTCTGTATAATTATTTGTTGGATTGTATATTAGATTGAGTAAGAGATTATTATAACAGGTTAATAGTATATATATTTGTAAAATAGACTTAACAAGCACACTTGTGATGTATGCTATGTGGTTGTGGGATTTTTGTATATGTCTATAACCTAGAAAACAAGCAATTGGTACAGGTGTTATATATGGTACAAGTTATGAGACAGGTTTTACCATCATGCTTAATAACTAAGGTGATAGGTGGTGTTGTTGCACTTATGGGATTATTTACTATTGTAGGAGGCAACAACTAAGTATTTTGAGCAACACACAACCCAAGTGGAGACAGTAAAACCCAGGGGTACATTGTACGAGCAGTTTAAAAAGCTAGATCCACCAATATATACAGGAACTGCAGGTCCATTGGAAGCAGAAAATTGGTTACAGCGCATTAAGAAGATATTTAGGGTGGTGGGAGTTGGTGAGAAAGATAAATTGTTGTTGGCCACTTTCATGCTAGTAGAGGAGGCCCAATATTGGTGGGAGGCCATGGAGAGAGCATTGTTGCTAGCGTGCATTGAGGGGGAGGCCAGTTCAGTTCCTAGAGTTCCCATATAGTGACAGTTTTCAGATGCTTTCAACAAGAAGTATTTTCCCTTGAGTTACTGGTACCAGAAACAGAATGAATTCTTACATCTGCGGTAGGGGAATCAGTCAGTGCTAGAGTATGAGGGCAAATTTAGTACTTTGTTTAGATTTATGCTTTCTGTTATAACAGATGAGGGGGAAAGAAGCATCAGATTCCCGATGGAGCTACATAACAATATTAGATCCCGTGTTTCGATGCTGGAATTAGCAACATTTTCAAAATTATACAACAAAGCCTGATTGTGGAAGCTTATCTAAAAGAGATGGAAAGTGCAAGTGAGCAGGCAAAAAGGGAAAGATATAAGCCAAGTGGACAGGGTTCCAAGGGAAGTTTCTTTAGCAGAGCCTGGAGAGGAATGCTTCAGAACGGTACAAGTAAGAAGAAATCAGGAGTTCCATTCCAGAGTCGAGGACAGGGAGTGGGTGAATCATCTTCATTTACACCGGGTCGAGAGATAGGACAGTCTCGGGGGAGTATAGTTACTTGTTACCGTTGCAGACAGATTGGACATATTGTACAAAACTATCCTATGGGAAGACCAAGACCTACTGTATCACGATGTTGCTTTTTATGTGGCCAGGAGGGACATATGTAGAGGGATTGTCCGCAGTCTTCTACCCAGAGTTAATTGATGGGAAGTGCATCTACGGTGTTTCGAGGAGCAACGAGTGGCAGAGGTCGAGGACGAGGAGGTAGTACTAGAGATGACACTGGAGTTAGCGGCGCTGGTGGCAATGGACCGAGCAGACCTGAGGCTGGAGGTTATGTCTTTGTACTTACCTAGCTGGATGCTCAGGCGACCCCAGATGTGGTCACAAGGATGATAACTACTTTTGGTCAGTAGACACAAGTACTTATAGATTTAGGCGTCATACATTCATTTATATTACTGCCATTTTTCATGCATGTTGATAGACCACCTACCATGTTAGACTATGGATTGACTATAGCTACTCCCATGGGTGATAGTGTGACGGTTGGGGTAGTATATAGGGGTGCCTAATTGAGGTGGATAATAGAGAATTATCTGCAGATCTGTTACCTCTTGAATTCTAGGATTTTGATTTAATTTTGGGAATGGATTGTTTGGCAACATATCATGCCACTATTGACTATTTTCGTAAAGAAATGGTGTTTAAAATCCCACATGTTCCTTTGTTTCGGTTCTTTAGAGAGGAATGCCCTGAGCCAAGGAATTTGATATCTGCAATTAAAGCCAGAAAATTACTTAAGAAATGATGTTATGGGTACTTGGCTTATGTGAAAGATACTCATAGAGGTACTCCTAAATTGAAGAATATTCATGTGGTTAATGAATTCGCTAATGTGTTTCCTGAAGAGTAATCAGGGTTACCAATTGATCGGGAGGTAGAATTTACTATTGAGCTTGTACCAGGAACTAGTCTCATATCCATTACTTTATATAGGATGGCTCCAGCTGAATTGAAGGAACTTAAAGTGCAGTTGTAGGATTTGTTAAATCGGGGATTTATACGGCCTAATGTATCTCCTTAGAGTGCACAAGTATTATTTGTAAAAAAGAAGGATGACACTATGATATTATGCATTGATTGCTGACAGCTGAATAAGGTAACTATCCGAAACAAGTATCTATTCCCGCGTATCGATGATTTGCTAGACCAGCTACAGGGTGCCCGGGTGTTTTCGAATATTGATCTCCGGTCAGGATATCATCAGTTGAAAGTAAGGGATAGTGATATATCAAAGACTATTTTTCGGACCAGGTATGGACACTATGAGTTTTTGGTGATGCCATTTGGTGTGACTAATGCTCCTGCTGTATTTATGGATATGATGAACTGGATATTTTAGTCATATCTTGATTCATTTTTGATAGTATTCATAGATGATATATTGATATACTCCCGTAGTAAGGAGGAGCATATGCAGCACTTGAGGGTGGTACTGCAGATATTGAGGGATAGACAATTATTTGCTAAATTCAGTAAATGTGAGTTTTGGTTGGACAAGGTTGTGTTTTGGGGGGCATGTAGTTTCTGGTGATGATATATGTGTTGATCTAGCTAAGATTGATACTATAGTTAACTAGGAGAAACCAAGGACAGTGACAGAAATTCAGAGTTTTCTGGGATTGACAGGTTACTACCGGAGGTTTATACAGGATTTCTCCATTATAGCTATGCCCCTGACCTGATGACTCGGAAATGTGTGAAGTTTGAATGATCTGATAGATGTGAGAGAGTTTTCAGGAGCTAAAGACCAGATTGACGACTGCACCAGTATTGACCATTCCGTCAGGTAGTAATGGGT